TGCCATCAGCATTGCTTGTAGGAGGTTCAATGATGGCGCTGAGAGGAGCTCCTTCCCCCGGCTCGGCTCCGGAGGTTCTACTTCTCTCTTATTCTATATGTTGGCGGAAAGAAAAACAGTTTCTTGTTCAAGTGGCTTCAATTGTAGCAAATGTTTGGTGGGGACATTGTGTGAGGAATAAAGAACATTGAACATAATGAAACTGACTTCCTTCCGATGAAGAGCTCCGATATATAAGAGGTGATTCCTCCGAGGGAGGTAGAAAGGCCCTACAGAGACTGTAGCAGAAGGAGAGATATTATCTGAGCTGCAGAGAGCCTTGTTATGGCAGAAAAAACAAACCCTTTACACAGCAATTAAAAGGTGTTCATTAGCTAAATAGTACTTTTATTTATATGTGGCTGGCTGTCTTCAAACTGCTCCGGGCTTGTACAGCTGTCCCGGCTCCTCTCCTGGCCTGAGATTGCTTCCTTTGATATCACTGCACACTGAGAGCTTCTCACAATGTGCATTAGAAGCTGCAGTAAGTCAGATAGAGCTCCGCCCCATTTCCTGGCTGGAGGGCGTCTACTGGGCTGGAGGACATCCACTTGGCTGTAGGACGTCCACTTGGCTGTAGGACATCTACTTGGCTGGATGGACGTCTACTTGGCTGGTGGACGTCTACTTGGCTGGTGGACGTCTACTTGGCTGGATGACGTCTACTTGGCTGGATGATGTCTACTTGGCTGTAGGACGTCTACTTGGCTGTAGGACGTCTACTTGGCTGTAGGACGTCTACTTGGCTGTAGGACGTCTACTTGGCTTGAGGATGTCTACTTGGCTGTAGGACGTCTACTTGGCTTGAGGACGTCTACTTGGCTGTTGGACGTCTACTTGGCTGGAGGACGTCTACTTGGCTGTAGGACGTCTACTTGGCTGGAGGACGTCTACTTGGCTGGAAGACGTCTACTTGGCTGGAAGACGTCTACTTGGCTGGAGGATGTCTACTTGGCTGGAGGATGTCTACTTGGCTGTAGGACGTCTACTTGGCTAGATGACGTCTACTTGGCTGTAGGACGTCTACTTGGCTGGAGGACGTCTACTTGGCTGGAGGATGTCCACATTAGTGAGCCTAAGCATGACAGGTCCTCTTTAGCGCTGAGCTGTTAGGATGATCAGCAGGTATCAGGCCTCCTCAATAGCGCTCAGCATGTCATACACATTTTACGCACATGGATAGACGGGGGAGGGGTGCCGAGGCGTGGGTGTGGGGATTATGCAGGGACTGTGCGTACGTCGGTGTTGCTCGTGTACACAGTTGAATGCTGATTGATTTTTATTGTATGGAACCACCTGGAAAAGGAAGTCGCCGGCGTGACATCTGCGACCGTCTCATCTTTTGACACGTCC